CCAGCCTGGGCAACAAGGCAAGACCCTGTCTCTACCAAAAAGGCAAAAATATAGTTGGGAGTAGTGGCATGCATCTGTGGTCTCAGCTACTCAGGAGGCTGAGGTGAGAGGGTCATTTGATCCAGGTTGTAGGTTGTGGTAAGCTGAGATCATGCCACTGCACTCTAGCCTGGATGACAGAACAAGAGACCCTATCTCCCTCTCTCTCTCTCTCTCTCTCTCTCTCTCTATATATAATATATATATATATATATATATAAATAATATTTTTTTTTTTCTCAGGAAAGATGAGATCCCATTTTAAGAAGATCGTTAAACGGATTCGTAGCAGTGTGCTGCAGCCAGTGGCAAGATCTGCCGTAAATCATCTTCACTAATCCCATTCTGGCCTGCTTTGAGTATACCAGCTTGCAGATGCCATTCGGGGTCAGAGGGACTGAGGTGAGGACAGGAACAGAGCAAATTACTTGACCCAACAGGGAACTGTACTTGAGACTTGATCCCAGAGCTATGTTCAGCCTAATCACTTTTTAAAAGTGAATCCTTAGAGCCTGCATGCAGAGAATAACATCTCGCAGTTTAGACAGAGGTGTTGAGCATGTAGAATGTAGGAGCTACTGAAAGATTGATGGAGCTTTATTTTTCTTATCAAAGGAGTACTCACTGGCTATATCCAGAGCAGAGGAGTCTTCCTGTGCATCAGAGAGGAAGGCATTGCTGCTGGGAAGCTGGTGGGAGACATGGCAGCTGGAATGAGTCAAATGCTGTTCATCTAGTGAGTCCTCCAGGACTTCATCCATTTCTTCCTCCTAGACCTCCCTCCTGAGCCTGGTGGAGTAGGCAAGACAAGGGATTCAACCAAGGCAGCCTGGAGCCACAGCTTCATAGCTAGTTCTGATCTGAAGCTCATGGAAGAGGCACCAAAACCAAATGGACCATCATATCAAAGAGGAAGTATATAATCCACTTTTGACTGGGAGTATAGTGGGCCAAGAGTTAGTATAGAAGTGAAAACAGCAAGTGATCAGTGCGTTGACCTCATAACACACAGATAAGGCAGCAGACTCAACAACTACTCTAAAATACACTCAGGGCACACAGGACACACAGAGATTCATACTATTGGCTTCAAAATGCTGTGTTCAAATTTTATTTCATATGATGTGGAGTGGTCCATTGAATACCAGCTCTTGAGACAATGTAACATCCCAGGGCTTTTGCAGATTTTAGACCCCTAGCTCTAAATACTTGCTATGGTTTCAGTTTATTTTCAAGGTAATTTTCTGGCTATAAAACATCTGCCAACATAATTCAGGAAAACTGTGCAGAAACCAGATGGGCATCTCACTTTGGTTTGCAACCATATAGATTTTAAAGATACAGGAACCAGGGATCCCTGGTTAGTTTACTTTTCAGTAAGACTGACTAGTTAACTAAGTGTGAGAAATTACTAGGAAATAAGAACCAATACAAGAATTGCAAAGAGAGCAGAGAACCATTTTTTAAGGGGTACATTGTATAATCAGTCAACAAAAATAGGTACACTCAGCAGTTTCTGCTTTTTCTAGATCTGGGACCTTTAACCTCTTGAACCCTTGTTTCTGGAATTCTCTTTAGATTTGGTCAGTCCATTATCAGCCTCTTCATCATTCAGAGTTACCTGGGAGCCAGTAGCTTTTGCCTGTCTTCATTTTTCTTACCATTGTGATTTTCTGCAAATCAAAATTAGAAAGAGCTGGTCAGAAATTAAGCAGGTCCCATTTCACACATTGCACACACGGGGCCTATATGATCAGGGACATAACACTTGACATGTGTGTTCAGAATGCTCTGTGAGAATTTTTGCAGGAGGCCTCAGGTTGTGTCTTTAGAGAAGTGGCCTGGCGGGCTTCCCTGAGCCCACTGGACAGGGTGTTCCTGATGTGGTGAATTATCACCATGACATCAGCTGCCTGAAGCAGAGCAAAAAGTTTAAAATGTCTTTTGTTCCCCAGCTCAAAGAATACTTGCCTGGCTGCCCTTTGGACTTCTCCAGTTATAACCTTCCTTCCTGCCACAGGCTGGTTGCCAGACCATGACTGTTTGTCCCCTTGCTACTCACACACAGAACCTGCTCCAGTCTCTGAGAGGACAAATAGCCCTGTCCTACCCCTACTGCAAAACCAGAGGACTGCCCAGGTGCCTTTAAGTCTGTCCCCGTTGTGCTTCCTCCAATGTTCTTGGGGGTAATTCTTTTTCTCTTCTTCTCAGTTTGTTAGTGAGAATTGGGGGTGATTCTATGAAAAATATTCCAGTATAAATCAACTTTTCTAACATCAGTTTCTACTATATCTTGTCCCTAAACTAACTCCAAAAGATTTGGACAGTTTATCGGGACCTGAAAATAAATAAATAAATAAATAGCCCTGAAAGAGAAATACATTCATGAACATTAAGATATTACTTCAACTGATCTGTACAGCAGCCATGGAATTATGATTTGACCCACTTTACAAATGAGGAAACAGAAATTCAAGAAGGATCAATCACTTGCACAAAGTTAGTAAATACAGCGCTGAGGCTAGAGCCTAGGTAATTCTGATTCTTAGGCCAGGGGTCTTCCCATTCTAACAGGCTGCCTTCTCTCATACTGTTCTTTCTGACCACAAAGATTGAACGGAGACTTCTGCTTCTGGCCAAGTTGGAGTAATAGGGACCAGATTTGTCCTCCACCTTAAACAACTAAGAAACTGGAAAAAGCATTTTAAACTCTAGCTTCAACATTGGATATAGTGCAGTACAGGACAGTGATCCCTGAGAGAGAGAAAATAAAAGAGGTGAGTCCTGTGACTGCTCCAGTTTCCTGCCTGAGATTGTCAACTGCAAAGCAGGGAGGGAGGACCCAGCCAGAGCCTGGTAGTGAGTTTGAAGAAGTCAGGGTGGGTAGACATCACAGGACAGACTAGAGAATAAATTGCTGCACAGACAGAATGCCTTGGATAGCTGTCTTCAATCTTCAGCTAAGTACTGATTAGTACATGAATTTGAGGAAATTATGCAAAGCAGGGAAAAGAACTTCCCAAAAGGAATAATCTCTGTAGCTCACACAGAGTTTGCAACATTTGGTGTTTCCATCAGCTAGAGTGAAAATCCCTTTTAATAGAGGGAGCATTGCTTAGAACAGGAATCGCCAACCCCCAGCACTGGTCCATGGCCTGTTAGGAACGGGACCGCACAGCAGGAGGTAAGCAGCCAGCCAGAAAGCATTATGGCCTGAGTTCTACCTCCTGTCAGATCAGCGCTGGCATTAGATTAGCATTGGAGCACAAATCCTATTGTGAACTGTACATGCCAGAGATCTAGGCTGCATGCTCCTTAGGAGACTCTAACTAGTGTCTGATGATCTGAGGTGGAACAGTTTCCTACTGAAACCACCCAACTCCCAACCCCTACCATCCCACCCCCACCTTGTCTGTGGAAAAATTGTCTTTCATGCAACCAGTCCCTGGTGCCAAATCTGTGGGAGATCACTGGCTTAGAACCTTCAAAAGAGTGTTGCCCCCAGTGTAAACTATGGACTTTGTGTGATAATGACACGTCAATGTAAATTCATCAACTGTAACAAATGTACCATTCTGGGGAGAGATGCTGATAGCCTAGGAGGCTATGCATGTGTGCAGGCAGGGTGTATATGGGAACTTTTTGTACTCCCTGCTCAATTTTGGTGTGAATCTGAAACTACTCTAAAAAATAAGGTCTATTTTCTTAAAAGTCATATTGCCTCCATAGTGGGAAAAAAAATAGCGGTTGACTAATAGCTGCTCTTATCCTGCCTAAAAAATTTAAAAAGCCAGCTTTAAAAGATGCAAATTGATTTTAAGTAACTTTATTGTATACCAAAACAAAGCTAAAATAGTTTTAACACAAAATGCAAAAAATCCAGCACTCAATAAGTTACAATTTGCAATGTCTAACACCAAATCAAATAGTGTTAGGAATGCAGAGAGACAGAAAACTGTAATCTATGATGAGAAGGGAAAAAAAAAATCAATCTGCTTAAACTGACTTAGAAAGGACACATCAGGTGAGAATTTAAAAATCAATAGAAAGGACACAGATGACAGAATCTGTAGACAAGGACATTGAAACAAATATAACTATATTCCTTGTATTAAAGAAGCTAGGCCAGGTGTGGCAGCTCATGCTTGTAATCCTGGCACTTTGCGAGGCCAAGGTGGGTGGGTCACCTGCGGTCAGGAGTTGGTGACCAGCCTGGCCAATGTGGTGAAACACCATCTCTCTGAAAAATATGAAAATTAGCTGGGTGTGGAGGCACGTCCCAGCTACTCAGGAGGCTGCAGGCACAAGAATCACTTGAACCCAGGAGGTGAAGGTTGCAGTGAGCTGAAATCTCACCATTGTACTTCAGCCTGGGCAACAGAACGAGACTCTGTCTCAAAAAATAGAATAAAATAAAAATAAACAAGCTAGGGGAAAATATGAAATGATGAAGAGTTACATAGAAGGCCTTAAAAAAAGATATAAATTAAATTTACATGAAAAATAAAGTCTGAGATGAAAATACACTGGATAGGATTAACAGCAGATGCTGCTGAAGAAAGATTAACCAATTTCAAGACATGGAAATAGAAACAAAGAGAGAAAAAAAAGATACAACAAAAATGAACAGACCATTAGTCAGCTGTGGTGAAATTTCAAAGCAGCTAATACAAATATAACTGGAGTCTTTGAATGAGAGGCTAGAGAGAAAGAAGAGAATATATATTATATAGATTTGATATACATGTGCCATATATAATATATTGTACATGCCATGTATAAGACATATATGTCATTATTATTCAAATTTGAGGAGAACTATAAACATGCAGATGCAAGAAACTAGATAAAGTAAAACAATATGTAAAAGATAAAACTATACAAGGTCTTATCTTAACTAAACTGCTTCAAACCAGTGATAAATAGAAAATCTCAAAAGTGGCCAGAGGAAAAACGACATATTATGTACAGAGGAACAAAAATAAGAATTATGGCAGACTTCTTGTTGGAAACAATGTAATCCAGAAGACAGTGTAATATCACTTTTCAAACACTTTAAAAACAAAAACTGTCAACTAGAATCCTACACCCAGTGAAAATATCTTCCAAAATGAAGGTGAGTTCTTATGCTCATCAAGATGAAGTAATCCACTATACTCTATCTCTCTTACTGATTGAAACTAAGAACTCTCAGGCCAGGCACAGTGGCTCACACCTGTAATCTCAGCACTTTGGGAGGCCAAAGCAGGTGGATCACTTGAGATCAGTAGTTCAACACCAGCCTGGGCAACATGGAGAAACCCTGTCTCTACAAAAAATACAAAAGTCAGCCAGGCGTGGTGGCACACACCTGTAGTACCAGCTGCTTGGGAGGCTGAGGTGGGAGCTTGAGCCCCGGAGGCACAGATCACAGTCAGCCAAGATCGTGTCACTGCACTCCAGCTTGGGTAAGAGAGCAAGACTCTGTCTCAAAATAAAAAACAAAACTCAGAACTCCTGAAAGAATATGAAAAGTGATTACCTGAGTGCTCTAAAGAGAAAACAGTAGAATGCAGATTAACGACCATAGTCAAAACTAAGATAAAATTTACAATGGAGATAACTCTGCATTTTTTCTCCCCACTTTGGGGCACTTGGGAGGAGCTAAGGGTCTTCAGAGCCTGTAGCCAACTTACCTGTGGCAAGTTTTCTGACAAGAACCTCTGTCAGCTGGCTTCCTTGTACCATTTGCTCACAGAATCTCTGTCTCTGGTAGTAGGCAATGCCAGTGTTCCTGAGAAGGCCCTCAAAAGACTTGACTGTGTTCTTCACATGCTGGGTGAAAAGGTAGCAGACACCTCTCCCTTCCTGTATCTTCTGTAGTAAGTGGGTCAGTTCTTCAGCCTGAGCCTGAATTAAGGGATCATATATCCTAAGGTGGGAAAGAGGAGTAAGAGGGAATGTAGTGAATAATAGGTTATAGAAGTTTCAGAGGAGACATCTCTTAGAATCCCTGTGAGGAACTCCCAAGTTGAATTCTTTTTTTTTCTTTTTTCTTTTCTTTTCTTTCTTTCTTTCTTTTTTTCTTTTCTTTTTTTTTTTTTTTTTTGAGACAGTCTCACTCTGTTGCCCAGGTTGGAGTGCAGTGATGTGATCTCAGCTCACTGCAGCCTCTGCCTCTGCCTCCGCCTCTGCCTCTGCCTCCGCCTCCCAGGTTCAAGCAATTCTCTTGCTTCAGCCTTCCAAGTAGCTGGGACTACAGGTGCCCATCACCATGCCAGGATAATTTATATATTTTTTGTAGAGATGGGGTTTTGCCATGTTGGTCATGCTAGTCTTGAACTCCTGACCTCAAATGATTCATGCACCTCACTGTACCAAAGTGCTGGGATTACAGACATGAGCCACCGCCCCTGGCCCAAGATTAATTCTTGTACAAGTTGTGTGACTTGCCTGTGGCAGAAGGAATGAAGAAACAGCCTTGGGGTTGTCTGTTATTTTACTAACTTTGCTTTAAAAAGATGCCCCTTTGGTTCCCCACTTTAGCCTAAGTACATTTTCGTACAATATACATCAAGCATTATACAGTAACTGGCAAAAAAAAAAAAAAAAAAAAAAAAAAAGGCCAGGTTCAAAATGTTGACCAGGTATCTCTGGTAATTCTTGAAGTTAAAAAGAAAAAATCAGGGGCGGAGCAAGATGGCCCGCAATAGGAACGAGCTCCCAGTCCAACTCCCAGCCGCCGAGCGACCACAGAAGACCGTGAGTTTCTGCAATTTTCAAACTCGAGCCTCTGCTGCTCGACCACCCAGGCAAACAGGGTCCTCGGACGTGGACCTCCAAGCAAATCTTCCAACCAGACCTACAGCTTGGAGGGTCCTGACTGTTTAGACAGTGAAAACTAGTCCAAACAGAAGGAACACCTACAACCAAAACCCCATCAAGTACGTCCCATCATCAAAGACGCAAGAGGCAGATAAAACCACAAAGATGGGGTAAAAAAGCCAGGGAATGAAAAGGCTGGAAATTCAAAAAAATAAGAAGCGCATCTCCCCCCGGCAAAAGGAGCGCAGCTCATCGGCCAAAGCAACCGGATCACAAGCTGGACGAGAATGACTCTTGAACGGAGTGAGAGAAGAAGGCTTCCAGTCATCAAACCTTCTCCAGAGCCTACAAAGGAGGAATTAGTAACCCAGCACAAAGAAACCTAAAAATCTTGAAAAAACAGTGGAAAGGAATTGATGGCGTCAGAGTTAATTAATGCAGAGAAGGTCCTAAGAACGGAAAATGAAGAGAGATGAAAACCATGACACCAGAAATCAGTGACAAATGCACCAAGCTTCATTAACCGACTCACATTCAACTGAAAAAAAGTAATCAGCAATTGAGGATCAAATGAATGAATGAAATGAAGCCGCGGAAAAAGGAAACCAAAAAAGTAAAAAGAAAAAGAAATGTAACAAAGCCTGCAAGAAGTATGGGACATTATGTATCAAAAGACCAAATCCTACCGTCATTGGGCGTGGCCCTGAAAGCTGAAGGGGAAAAGTGGGAACCAAGTTGGAAAACACTCTCCCCAGGATACTCATCCAGGAGAACTTGTCCCCAACCTGGTACGGGCAGGCCAGACATTCAAAGTCGCA